GGAAATAATAATGCAAGGCATCAATAAGATCGCCACAGTCTTCACCCAAAAGAAGGGGATGGCCCTTTAAACAAAATACTTGAAGTCGAGAACCAATGAGCATTAAGGCTACCAAAATTGGAGAAATGCCCTTCAAAAACTCTCTTATTCCTCTCGAGTCAAATAGTCCAGAGAATGTACTAGGAATTTACAATTAATAATTTAATATTTTTTATAAATTATGCAAATAATTATTTTTAAAAAAGAATCAAATGCAGAAGAATTAAAAGTAGTAGTTATATCAAATAAAGTTCATATAAAAATTGAACTAAATTAAAAAAAAATTTAAATAATTTGATCTACGAGAGAAATTTTACAAATTTTTTTGATAAAATTTAAAATATTTGCAATAGTTACATCAATTTTTATGCTCTTCCGATAAATTCAACTTTTATTACTTATTTTAGACCATGATTAGTGAAACAATAATCCAATCATGTCGCAGCATTCTATGGTAAAGTTTTACCAAATATTGTATGACTTTTAGCACAAAAGCACTTTTTACCTGTTCTCATGACACTTTTAACAAGTCACAACACAAACACTACTTTCAGCAAACGAACTAAAAAACTTGGAAATAAATAATTCTTGACATCAATCTGTTATAATAGCTGTGAAGTTACCATGGAAGACCTTATATGCACAAGCTATATAGGAATAGCAAGGTATTTGCAACCCTCAAAATGATTTTAGTAAGTCTCCAGTGGCAGAGAAGCAACCACAAGCTAAAGTTTTTTCATGGTTGTGGCCTAATTACTAAAACGAAATAAGAAATAAAAATATATGGAAAAGAAGAGAAATGATAGTTTGCAAAAATTTTTACATGGTAAGAAATTGATGATATCCATTACTTGAATCCAGCTTAAAGTCAACTTTTAAACACAGAAGAAAATATGAATATCTTTCTGTGAAGTAGCAAATGATTTCTCATAATAATAGGAAGGCTGAAACTGAAACTGGATGTTCGGATGAATATTCTCTTAGATGGAAATATAGATTAAATTCGTTTAATCCATGATAAAAATCTCAAATACTGAATGAGTTTTAACAATATTCATGGAAAAAAGGAAGTTACCTGACACTGTGATTGGATGAGCTCCGCATGCAATGAGCTTCTCCAGAACATGCATTGCAATCTTTCCAGAACCACTAACAATGCATCTAGGAACAAAATTAAGAGGAAAAATGTCAACAAATAAATCTTTTTTTTTTTTTCAGTTTTGTCTTTTGTAAAAAACATTCAGTTTGTTGTTTTGTTTTCTTGGGAGGGGTGGGAGGATTGGGGGGTATAAGAAATCCTCCTAACAAAAAACCGTGAGTCAAAAATTACATTAAGAAAGTAAAGTATGTGAATCCCTTCGCAAAATAGCAAAGAGACATTCCTATAATAGCCATGAACCTTACCCCATAAAGCAGCAAAAAGACAAACTTCAGCAGAAACTAGAGTTCAACATTTTCCTTAAAAGACAAGCTTTGATAATAACTAGAGTTCAACAGTATTCATGGGATGAATTTTGAGTTTTGGACTATGTTCCACTTTTTGTATGAATTGGATTTGTCTTCTAGACTTGAAGATATCCATTTCTACTTCTTTATATGGTTCCAGACAGAGTACAGAGTAGTTGATGAAAGGGGCAATTTTCTCGGGTCATTGGGTCCTTTGGTTGGGGCCAAATGCAAAATCCTTAAGAAAAAGTCTTATTCAGTTAATGACCATCAGGTGCAGTGCTTTAGCTTCTGTCAGGACTAAATGCACGGTTTATTTTAGGGGGATTCATTTGTCTATGCTACAAAGGAATTGCAATGCTATGTTGTACTAAGTGTGGCTTGTTTTTCTCTATTTTCTTTCAAGGGCTCGTTTTCCTGCATTATTGTTGCTTTTTTGTCTCTGTTTGTTTTCTTTTCTGGAGGATAGCCTGTCTTTCCTTTAACTCTAATTTTGCTATCTACTACTAATAAACTTCTCTTTTATCAAAATAAGAACAAACAACATTTGATTGGTAACGAGTGCAACTAAGGTAAAACTTTAAGAGAACACCTTTAAGTAAGAATTTCTATCATCTATATCTTCTCAAAACATTCATATTTTATGGGTTTTATTGACGTAAAAATAATGCAATGTTGAGAAGAAGGGAATATAGGTAAGGGCAGGAGAAGAGCAGTAAGAGTGAGCCCGTACTATCTGGCCGGGAATTTTGTCTAATGACAAGGGAAGGTGCTTGGACTGTGAACAATCAACTTTTATCCCCCTTTAAATGGTGAAATCTGAATTTGGAGGGGGAAGAACAATTTTCAGTATATTTATAGAATTTACACTTTTTCTAGGAAATTAGGAATGGTACCGGTTTCTGCAATTAAGAACTGACAACTGACTTTTTTGCGGGATTATGGACCTTATGGGTTGACAGGAAAAGGTGAACCTTTAAAGGTTACTCTTCGTCTAATCAGGATCTATGATGAAGGACGACTCTTTTTGCTATATGATATAAGATAAATTATGGTTAATTTGCCTACTAAACAGTAGGAGAAAATCTAAATATTACACCTAGGATTCTTAGGTATCACGAGAAAGGGTTAATTGGGTTACACAATCAATTATAAGAAATTATCAAAAAAATATTATTGAATACTTGAATGAATAATAAATGAAATTACAAAATTATTTATTATAATCTCCCAGTACCTTTTCCTAAGTAGAATAAACTAGGAAATAATAATATAGTAGATTAAAAATACTAATACTAATATAAATAAAAAATAATACTAATAAGAACAACTCCTAACTCTAATAAGAATAAAATCTTAAGTTACTAAAACTATAATAATACTCTTAAGAATATAATAACAAATTTTTAAATAATATAATTGTTTTATATTTAATATCATCACAATTTCTAATTTATTTAAGAAATCTAATGTTAAACCATTTTGCATCATTCTCCTCTAGTTGGAGCAAACTCGTCTATGAGTTTTGAAGTGGCAAATGATATAAAACCTTGATACTTGAGTTTTTTCATCAAAATTTAGCAACTTTTTTGCTTGATTACTCTCTTCAACAGCAAACACGATTGAAACACAATAGTTTACGAGTGTGGAATCCTGATGGTAGGATGAAATTAACATAATGACCGATTTGCACTTCAACTAAATCTTTGAGTGATGACTCATTCTCTCCCCCACAATGTCATATATGCTTTATTACGAATGTTTTGATGAATATTCTATTAAATATTACAACACTATATATACGTATTTTCTACAATATAAAAGAAAATAAATAATTAATTATATATGGTATAATTTACTCTTATACCATTTAACCTAATCTACCATTTCTTCAAAACTCACACTTAAAATAGGGAGTAGATATTGTTCATCCTCAGCTTGCCAATATGAGTTTAGATGCTAGACTATTTAAGTTTTTCATCAACACATCTGCCAGTTAAGAAGTAGTAGACATGTATAGGATACATATTAGGTCACTATCAAATTTTTCTTTGATAAAATATTTATTGCTCTTGATATTTTTGGTCTAGTTACATTTAACTGGATTGTGTGCAATGTCTATGACTGACTTGTCGTCACGATAAAGGCACATGGGATTTTCCCAATTGACTCTAAGATCTTCCAAAAATTTTTTATCTATAATAGTTCATATACCCTTTCTACCATTGCTCGATATTCAAACTTTAAATTTGATCTCGCAACTATATTTTGCTTCTTACTTCTACAGGTGACTAGATTGCCTCCAAGAAAGGTACAATATCCTGTGGTAGACCTTTTGTCTACAATTGACCCTATACAATCTGTATTAGTATAGACTTTTAGGAGCAACTTATCACTTTTACTGAACATAATTCCTTTTTCAAGTGACCTTTTTAAGTAATGTTGTTAACTGCGATATTTTATTATTTAATTAGTTGAGATGATATAATTAGAATCCTACTATAATAGAATTCTAATTACATGAGATTACTATTTTACTAAAATTCTACTTATAACATCTTAACTAATTAAATAATAAAATATCATAGTCAACAAATGTAGCATTTAGTAAGCTACTTGTAGGTGCAATTCTTTCGAACTATGCATGAATTGACTTATAACACTCACTGCACAAGCAATAAATGATCTCATGTGGGGTACATATATCAATTTCCCAACTAATATCTAATACATTTCCTTATTTACTTACTTATATTTTTTATTAATCTAAATTTGTAATTAGGATCAATAGGAATGCTAACTGGTTTGTACGCTGACTTACTAGTGTCCTTCAACAGATCATGAATACATTTCTGCTGAAAAATAAAAATTCAAGATTTTGAGCAGGTAACTTCAATTCTCATAAAATATTTGAACTTACCATGTTTCTTAATTTCAAATTCTTTTGTTAGACCCTATTTTAGTATCAATTTTTCTTTCTCATTATTTCATATTACAATAATGTTATCAACATATAGTAGGAGAATTATAACTCCCAGTATTTTTAGGTGTTTGATGACTAGAATGTGGTTTCCTTGGGTTTTCTTAAATCCAAAACCCATCATCACTCTTGCGAACTTGTCAAGCCATACTCCTGGCAATTGCTTGAGTTCATACAAATCTTCAGTTTACATACCTTATTTAGTCCTACTTCTCTATTAAAGTTTGGTGAAATATTCACGTAAATTTTTTTCTTCTAAATCTCCATTCAAAAATGCATTTTTTACATCAAATTATTGTAGTCACCAATCAAATTGAGTAGCTAATGATAATAAAATTCGCACAGTGCTCATCTTGGCTACTGATGCGAATGTCTTCAAATAATTTATCGCATATGTCTGTGCATCCCACTAGTTTCTTGTCTTTGAGTATATCCACTATTTTCCATATTTTGATTTTTCTCAAGTGTCTGTATTTTCATATTTATAGCATTCTTTCATTTTTCACAAAATAATATCTCAGATATTGTGTTAAAAATAGACTCAATATCAAAACTTGTGAAAAAAATTTTATGAGACAGTGAGCACTTATCAAATGACAAAAATTGCATAATAAAATAAAGAGAATGTTTAGTGCATTCTCTTATACCTTTAGAAAGTGTAATAGATATATCATTATCAAATTATATACATTTTTTGGAACTTACCAATATTCTAGAATTAAGACGATTTTTGAACTAGGCTAGATTTAATACTATGCATCTTCCCCTTTACATACATTTGAGAAAACCTAGGATTTGGTATGATCTCTTAAGTAGATAAATTTTATGGAAGGTTCTGAAGATTCTCTTATGGTGGCGGTGTTGAGGTGTATGACAAAAGATTATGAGGCAAAAATGGTAGGGTAAAAACTGTTAAGAACTCTGCATCCTTATCGTCCAATACAAACTTCCTATGAAGATAAGGTAGAGTGAAATAGGATTATTATTTAATAAATATAATGTTCCCAGGCACAAAATTTTTGGGTGGACGAATAATGACACTTGTACCACTTTTGAGATGACAAGTACTCCACAAATACACATTTTAAGGCCCGGGGATCAAGTTTTCCTCTTTGATGGAAGTATATATGAATGAAATCAACATATGCAAATATCCGAGAGATTAGAAGATTTGTGATATTTACTGTAGGATAAATTTTTTTAGTGTTTTTAGAGGACTTTTGAAGACAAAGACACTAGTGGATAGAAAGTTAATAATGTAGATGATGGTAAGGACAGCTTTACCCCAATAACGGTTCTTGATGTTCTTTTGGAAAAAGACAGCTTTGGTGGTAGCTAAAAGGTGATTATTCTTGCATTCTGCTACTCTATTTTATTGTGAATTGTGGACACAAAATAATTCATAAAGAATTCCTTCCTAATAAAGAATGATGAAACTATTTTATTAAAAAAAATTGGCATTATCGATGTATAATCTTTTTATGATAGTCCCATATTGAATTTTTATCATGTTATAGAATTGAGGTATGATATGGTTAACATCATATTTGGTTTTGAGTCAAAACAATCAAATGACTTTAATGTATTCGTCAACAAATAACTCAAACCATCAAGCCCCAGAAATGTTAGGTGTGTTAATTGATCCCCAAATATCACAATGAAGTAATAAAAATGAAATTAAATTTCACTTGTTACTAATGGAAAATGTCACACACATATATTTTACAAACTCACAGATATCACAATGTAAATTTCTCTCTTCTAAATTCTTAAACAAATGGGAAGCATAACCTTTAATATGGAAAAGGATGGATATCCAAGTATTTTATGATGGATCCAAATCTTTATGCGATGTTGGTAGTAATAGTAAAGAAGGATTCCCCATGTGCACCTAAGTAGTATTAAAGTTTGTTTCTAATTTCAGCATATCTAATCATCTTCCCCAAATTCTTCTCCTTGAAGTCACATTGAGAAAAATCAAATCTTATTTGTAATTTAAGTTTTGTGATAACTTATTAGCCGACATACGAATAGTACATAATTTGGGAAGATGTAACACATTTTTTAGGACAATAACAATACTAAACTTAATCTGACGTCATTGCTTACAATAGGGTTGAGAGAACCATCTGCAATGACAATCTTTTTATTACTTGCATATAGACCATGTATATGAAAATATTAGAAATAATAGTCATCTTATCTGTAGTTTCTAAGTTTATAACTCAAGAATTTTCAAATGGTTCGTGTGAGGTATTTAAACTGTGTGAAAAGGAAAACGTATCTGAATGTTTTATTATACTTGTACTTGAGACCAAAGTCCTCTTATCGACTTTGCAGTCCAGCTTTAAAGCATTGATATTGGTATGTGTTTCTTCTTCCCATTGGTTGGCCATATGAACTCGTTTAAGAATCTTCTGTGAGCCAGTTTTGTATCACCACTCTTTGTTGGA